TTTTATCCGGCCAAAAAATAAAATTGTTTGGTGTGGGGGTTGTAAAAAAAAAAAAAAAAAAAAAAAAAAAAAAATATATATATATATATATATATATAAACATCTTGAAAAGATCTGATCTACCATTTCCAGCCGCTTCAGCAGAGCCCACATTCTCATACAAATTAGCATTATCTGCAGTGAATAAAAAGAGATAAATGTGATTAATTTAACCATGAACAGCAAAGTTATTTGAACATTTCTCTCAGACATTTGAAAATTCAAAGCTGGAATAAATGTTCACAAATTTTTAAGAAATCACAGTTATTTCACAAACACTTACAAAACCTTTATAACTCATCATCAGCTTTATGATTATGGATCACAGCAGACAGAAGGACAAGAACAGTAATACTTGCTTCACATAATCTCGTAATTTTATATAAAGCACTGCAAGATGTGTTGCATAAATACAGAGAAACTGTATAATATCTGCAGCTGGAGTCTGGGTCAGCAGCAGAGATTCATTGATAATCAAAATCTATAGTAGAAACACTGAGGTTAAATATTCAACATTTGTAAGAAAATGTATCAAAATAAATCTGACCATGACAAAGGGAACTATAATCACGATGTTCAGTCTGGTTTGTAGTGAAGGTCTGACTGTTGCTCTGTGAGCCTTTTGACCTGAAACATAATAAATACATGAAACTTATTCAGGAAAAAAAAAATCCACTGCTTTTCTTTAAAAGGGAGAAGAAAAGTTATGACTGTTCTCACCTGATGCAGCACAAATCTGTGAAAAAAAGATATTTGTCATATTTCACATGTCATATTGCCATTTTGTATCATAACAAAAAGAATTAAAGTCACAAATTATAAATTATTATTTTAATTAATATTTTAATCCAGTGTGAGCAGAAAAATGTTCTCACCTTTGGACCGTCTGCAGCACCACAACAAGATCAGGAGAATAATGAGAATAATTCCAACAACTGGTCCAACGATCAACATGACAAGAGAGTTGATAGGACTGGACACCGGCTCTGGAAACAACAACAACAACAACAACAACAACAACAACAACAACAAAGTTATTTAACTGCAGATTATAGGACATCATTCATTAACAACAGATTAATGTGACTATAAACTTGATCACCATATATACACTGTCAGTATTCAGTTCATTCCTAATTAAAGTGAATTTTTAAAAGTCTAACATTTTCCTCCTCCTCACCTCTAACAGACATCCAGCTCTTTGGTGAATCTTTTCCTGAATGTTGACATTTGTAGAAACCTTCATCTGACTTTGACACTGCAGAGATCTTCAGCTCCCCTCTGCTGTCATTATGGAGGAGTTTATCATTATGATAGAAAAACACATTGGAGAGAAGTTGTTGTTTTTTATCTCTGCAGCTCAGAGTAACAGGATCTCCCTCAGTCACAGGATGAACAGGACTCAGCAGGAGAGGAGCAGAATCATCATCTGTAAAACAACCAGAGGATGATGACATTTAGTCAGATTGGTGGACTAAACCACTAAACAGTTATAAACAAAAATGATTTTGATTTATTGTTTTATCTTATGTTCCTTATAGAAAACATCCAACGTTGCAATATTAACACACCTTTTAGTTTTTTTTTTGTTATTGATTGACCTGAATATTTTATTTTTAGTCTCAGGGCTGCTAATGGGCGTCTATGAGGACTCCATATATTTTACATATTGACATTTTTGTTTATGAAACATGTGATCGTAGTGTAACAGCCATACAGCCAGAGTGACTTTGATTATTTTTCTGTGTTTTTCTTATGTAACACATGTAAATGCACATTTAGTTTGATGTTTAAAATAAAATCACGGTTTGTTTAACACTGAACAATCAAACGGTGGAAATGTTTTCACTCCTCCACCTCCATAAAAACACTTGCTAGATCAGGAACTCTGAACCTTGGTCAGACAAAACTACTGTTCTTAAGAAATTCTTGTTATTGACAAAAATCAGGCAAAGTTTTAGTTTCTTCTTTCTACAATCAGATGAACATATTTTAACCTAGAAATAAATAAGGATAAAGAATAACAAGTCTGACCTAAATTTAAATCCCAATGTTTTTATTTCAACTTGTTTGTTATTGCATTTGTTCAAATACACTTGCACGGACCACTTTGATGGTATAATTATTTAGGTATTAAATTATATGATGATAAAAAAATAAGTTGATATTAAGAGATGTATAAAAACAGTATGCACATCAAACCTCTGATGCTGAAATTCAAAGTGAAGAGAAAGAAAACGATGATAAATCATCACCCACCAGGTACAGTGATGTTCACTGCATTGCTGAACTCTCCTGATCCAGACTCACACCAGTAAACTGCACTATTAAACCAGTAGGAAGTGATATTACATGTAGATCCAGTCATTCTCCCCCAGATGGAGCAGTTTGACACTTTTCCTGTTTCTATAAACCTCTTCACTCTCCACCCAGCAGAGTTTCCCTCACAGCTCAGAGTCACAGATTCAGATCTGAAGTGTTGAACTCTGTCAGGATTCACTGAGAGAGAAGCTGCTGGACGAGGATCTGGAAACAAGACAGGATTTCATCTGAGAACAGAAACATCTTTGAAATGTCTGGTTGAAAATATCACTTTGGTTTTTATACATCTTTAATAATAAAGATCTGTTCAAACATTTCAATATGTTGATCAAACTTTGTTTCTCTTAAAGATGGTCCACATATTTCTGTGTATCTAAAATAAAATAAATATGTCAATAATTATCTGCCATATTTTACAAATAAAGCTGGTAAATATTTTATTTGCCAAAACTTAGCAGCTTTCTTGACTACATTCAGGTTCCAGACGTCAGTCTGGAAGGCTCTCCCTGTTTGTAGTTTGTTCAGGTCTTTATTTCTTCTTCTCTGTTGTCTTTGCTCTACTTGTTTACAATCATTAAATATTTCTAATCAAACCACCAGCTCAGCTGTAGATGATTGAATGTATCCAGGTTTACAAGAGCACCACAGTTCAGGAATTGAATGGAAAATAACAATAAATCTCTTTAGTTTTATTTTATATGTCGATTAGATTTGTGCTGTCCGAATCTAAATTAATTCTAGTTTATTATCTGGCAAAAGTATAAAAATCTGAAGCATATTTCCCCTTTTTGGATAATTAGTAAAAAAAAAAAAAAAACAGACAATATCCAACATACTTTTGATTAGAGTTAAAGACCAGGCAACATTAAATAAAACTGAAATCATGGCTCCTGTTTATTTATGGCAAACTGACCTGCAGACCAGATAAACTTTGGTTCACTGTAATCAGTGTAGTTCACTGGTTCTCCTCTTCCTGCTCTGCACACAAATCCTGCTGTGTGAGTCGGTCCATTAATGGTGAAGTTCTGTTCTGTACCACTGGTGCCAGGAAGCAGCTCGTAGCTGTAGGAGCTGCTAGATGCTTTAAGAAAAGCTTTATACCAGAAGAACCTCCATCCTGCATCCTGATGTTGAACCTCACAGCTCAGAGTCACTGAGGCTCCAGGATTCAGCCATGATGGAGACACAGAGAGGACAGGAACAAGTTGACCTGTTGAAATCAAACACCAAGAAACATTAATATTATTATTTTAAAATCTGACAGATTAAAATGCTACATATCAAAATATACTACAAACTTAATTTCTAAATGATTTTAATGACACTTATCATGAAATTTACTTAAAATGGCAACAGTTTAGTGATTATAAATCTTAATAATAATAAATCTCCATCCATTGTTTACAGCTGATTGTCTTTTCTGGTTTCTTTCTCCAGCAGTTTCTGGTCAAAGTGAGGTTACAGCCTGATGTTAAATTCATTGGATTCAGTTTTCAGACTTTATGAATAAAAACTACATTTTATTCTCTTCTTGTTTGTTTTACTCTGTTGGCAAACAAAGAGTCAACAAATCAATTTGTTATTTCATTAATGAACAGAAACTGAACTCACCAGTTTCATTAATAATGACCTCTGTGCTGGTTTCAGTGTAGAAAACTGGACCTCCTCTTCCTCCTCTGCAGCTGTAAACACCTCCCTCTGAGACGCTGAGGAATCCATCTGGTTTATTGTTTATTATGTCTCGAGCTGTACCATATGAATTTCTGTACCAGTAAATCTTCCAGCCTTCACCGATGTCCACAGAGCAGGTCAGTGCTACACTGCCCCCTACTGGTATGATTGTGTCCTTCACTGTCAGTGAGGCTTTGGGTTTATTTGCAGCTGATTGAGAAAAAGACAAAATATAACTAAATAATCACTATTTGACTTGTTTCAATGTAATTTAGTTTGGTTCATTTGTACAGCACCACTTAAAAATATCACTTATAAACTGACTTGTTTGACACTTTGAAAGACAAGTTCAATTCATATCCACTGCATAATATTTTTTGAAGCAAGTTAATTCCAACAAAGTAAGCATTTTATTCCCTCAAATGACACTTTAAACCTTAATGGTTTTAATATTTGACAGTGTGACGGGCTCCTGTCACTGTTGTGAATGAATCCCTGTTTAATTGCTTTTTTCTTCTTGCAGTTGATTGGCTGGGGAGAGTTTAAAGGGATCAAGCCCCACCCACCAGACGAGCGAGGAAGTTTGGAGGTGCTCCTGGTTGGTGGCGTGTCTCAGAGCCTCGCTCCCGCTCCATTGATGCTATTTCTTGTTTGTTAACCTCCCTCTTGTGTTGTTAGGTCTGGGGATCGTTGGCCAAGCCGATGTTTTCCGGTTTTTGGTTGTAGGGTGAGTGATCCGGTGAGGCAGGGTGAGGGGAGCGGCCCGAATCCAACGGTCAACTGCTGGCTGGTTCGTGAATGCTCCCACTCTTTTGTTTATTTTGCCACGATTCCCCAGTACCTCTATGTCCAGCCTTGGATTGAATGAAACCCTTTTTGTTTTATGTAATTTGGTCTGGACTCATTATGTTGTGTGTCCTGTGCGGACTGTAACAAGAAATGAGTCTAAAGAACACATAGGACACATTTCTTAACTTTTGCATAAATGTCGATGTTCAACAATTCACTGATTAATTCTGTCAAATGTTTTTAACTAACAGCACATGTGATCCTTATGGATTTATATATTTAATTAAAATAAAATAATCACAATCACAAATAATCACAATCATAATAATCAGACTGTGATTGAATCAAATCATGTTGTATCAAATCCCAGTCAGAGCTGAGTTGAACCAAACTACTGAACCAGAACATCTTCTAATGTTCTGCTGCAGTCAGGAGAACTGGGCTGGAAATCAGCTCTACTGCACAAATCACTTCTCAGTCCTTCAACAAGGAAAGCTCTGCTGACAACTAAAGGTTGAAATTCTCCTTCAAATATTTAAACTTTCTGTCATCTTTAAAAGTCGTTTTCAAAGTTCCTACAGCCTTTCCAATGAATTTCACTGTTGGTTTATTTATTGTTTTAATTTATTATTAACAACAGTTACTTTAACAGGAAATTTGTCGTAAATCCAGAATTACACAAAATGTCACCTGAAATTATTTTATTGCTATAAAACTGTCAAAAACATAAAACACACATTGTGTAATGGGTCATTGTTCCTCTTTCTCTTTCAAGAAATCTTTATCTTTTAGCATCAACCTGTTATTCGGCATAAATCTATGAAATATTTTTTTTGTTTTGATCAATGAATGATTTGAAGGAAAGGGAAACATTGATCTTTAGTTTTTATGTTTGAAAAACTAAACTAAAATATTTGGGCAACAAATTAGGAAAAGTGACCTTTTTAAGTGCAACTTGATGGAACATTGTAAATAATAACTTCATGTCTATAATAGATGATCTACTTACCAACAGTTAATGAGTAGTGAGTCCATTGTGTGAACTGATGGTTTCCTTTTCCTCTGCAGCTGAATGTACCACTGTGAGCTTTGTTGATCTTGTATTCACTGGATGTTGGAGAATAATTTAACCCGACTGGACTCCATTCATACGTCCACTCAGTTCCTCCTCCTCCTCTGATCTCACATCTCAGAGTGACCGTCTCTCCTCTGAATATCTCAGACCAGCTGTGTTTCAGGGTCACACTGGGTTTAATGGAAACTGTTCACATAAATAAATATCTGGTTAGAAATGTAATAATAATAATTAGCAGTAAAACTTTTCCTGCTATGTTGATGATAATCATATCATGTCACAAATTGCAGCATTGTTGCAAATTTTACATCTAAAACTCAAAATGACAAATCAGTTCCAGTAGAGAACTGATTTTACCTGTCAGTGAAAGTCTTTGACACCTTCATACAGGTCAAATATAATACAGAAAATCTTCCATTAACTGCAGCAGAGCCACATGTGGTTTATGTTTTAAATGTAATTTGATTTGGTTCATGTTGGACAAACAAGAAATCTGTAAAGTCTCAGACATCTGAGCATGAGAAGCATTATAAACACATAAGATGGATCATGCAGCTGCCCAGCATTTTTGATTTACTGATGGTTTTATTTAATATAAGGAAAGACTCTGATTGGGTCAACAGTTCATCTTTGATTTGATTGTTGTTCTGGTTTCACAGTGAAGATTGTGGTTCGTTCTGTCCATTGTTTCAGTGACCAATAGATTTGTAATTATACTTTTTTTCTCCAGTTATTCTGGTTCACTTATTTCAGGCTGATTATAATAAATAGCATGAATGTTGTGTTCACTGTGTCAAAAGGTTTGTTAAATACTTCATTGCTTGTCTGTTCCTAGTGATTATTATTCATATTGTTGGTTCAAATATGAACTATTTCTATAGAACTGGGACAGAAACTGAAGATCCAAACTGCATCTCTACTTAGGTTGATGATTAAAATGATTCAACTCACCAGTTTTAATGTCGACTTCATTGCTGAATTCAGTGTAGAAAACTGGATCTCCTCTTCCTCCTCTGCATTTGTACACACCGACCTGTGTGACACTGAGGACTGCACCTCGTTCATTGTTTGTGATGGACTGATCTCNCCTCCTCTTCCTCCTCTTCCTCCTCTGCAGCTGTAAACACCTCCCTCTGAGACGCTGAGGAATCCATCTGGTTTATTGTTTGTTATGTTCTGAGCTGTACGATATGAATTTCTGTACCAGTAAATCTTCCAGCCTTCACCGATGTCCACAGAGCAGGTCAGTGCTACACTGCCCCCTACTGGTATGATTGTGTCCTTCACTGTCAGTGAGGCTCTGGGTTTATTTGCAGCTGATTGAGAAAAAGACAAAATAGAACTAAATAATCACTATTTGACTTGTTTCAATGTAATTTAGTTTGGTTCATTTGTACAGCACCACTTAAAAATATCACTTATAAACTGACTGTGGATATCAAGTTCAATTCATATCCACTGCATAATATTTTTTGAAGCAAGTTAATTCCAACAAAGTAAGCATTTTATTCCCTCAAATCAGACCGTAAAGCTTAATCGTTTTAATATTTGACAGAAATGAGTCTAAAGAACACATGGGACACATTTCTAAACCTTTGCATAAATGTCGATGTTCAACAATTCACTGATTTATTCTGTCAAATGATTTTAACTAACAGCGCATGTGATCTTTATGGATTTATATATTTAATAAAAAAACCCCCACAGAAATCATAATAATCAGATCGTGATTGAATCAAATCATGTTGTATCAAATCCTAGTCAGAGCTGAGCTGAACCAAACTACTGAACCAGAACATCTTCTAATGTTCTGCTGCAGTCAGGAGAACTGGGCTGGAAATCAGCTCTACTGCACAAATCACTTCTCAGTCCTTCAACAAGGAAAGCTCTGCTGACAACTAAAGGTTGAAATTCACCTTCAAATATTTAAGCTTTCTGTCATCTTTAAAAGTCGTTGCTTTCAAAGTTCCTACAGCCTTTCCAATGAATTTCACTGTTGGTTTATTTATTGTTTTAATTTATTATTAACAACAGTTACTTTAACAGGAAATTTGTCGTAAATCCAGAATTACACAAAATGTCACCTGAAATTATTTTATTGCTATAGAACTGTCAAAAACATAAAACACACATTGTGTAATGGGTCATTGTTCCTCTTTCTCTTTCAAGAAATCTTTATCTTTCAGCATCAGGATTTTATTCAACATAATTGTATGAAATCTAGTCTCCATCTGTCAGGATGGTAATAAAAAGGGTAAAAGAAAGTCTGGCTGGTTTAAAAGTCTTAGAGATAATTAGATAATCAGTGACATAAAACGTTGGATTAAATATCACAGAATTGCAATTAAACTTTATAACATTGTTTTACTGAGAAAATCTGCACATTTGCAGCTGATTGGAGCAAAAATGATTTTAGTTTTTCTTAGAAGTTGATCAATGATTTGAAGCAAAAGGAAACATTGATCTTTAGTTTTTATGTTTGAAAAACTAAACTAAAATATTTGGGCAACAAATTAGGAAAAGTGACCTTTTTAAGTGCAACTTGATGGAACATTGTAAATAATAACTTCATGTCTATAATAGATGATCTACTTACCAACAGTTAATGAGTAGTGAGTCCATTGTGTGAACTGATGGTTTCCTTTTCCTCTGCAGCTGAATGTACCACTGTGAGCTTTGTTGATCTTGTATTCACTGGATGTTGGAGAATAATTTAACCCGACTGGACTCCATTCATACGTCCACTCAGTTCCTCCTCCTCTGATCTCACATCTCAGAGTGACCGTCTCTCCTCTGAATATCTCAGACCAGCTGTGTTTCAGGGTCACACTGGGTTTAATGGAAACTGTTCACATAAATAAATATCTGGTTAGAAATGTAATAATAATAATTATCAGTAAAACTTTTCCTGCTATGTTGATGATAATCATATCATGTCACAAATTGCAGCATTGTTGCAAATTTAACATCTAAAACTCAAAATGACAAATCAGTTCCAGTAGAGAACTGATTTTACCTGTCAGTGAAAGTCTTTGACACCTTCATACAGGTCAAATATAATACAGAAAATCTTCCATTAACTGCAGCAGAGCCACATGTGGTTTATGTTTTAAATGTCATTTGATTTGGTTCATGTTGGACAAACAAGAAATCTGTAAAGTCTCAGACATCTGAGCATGAGAAGCATTATAAACACATAAGATGGATCATGCAGCTGCCCAGCATTTTTGATTTACTGATGGTTTTATTTAATATAAGGAAAGACTCTGATTGGGTCAACAGTTCATCTTTGATTTGATTGTTATTCTGGTTTCACAGTGAAGATTGTGGTTCGTTCTGTCCATTGTTTCAGTGACCAATAGATTTGTAATTATACTTTTTTCTCCAGTTATTCTGGTTCACTTGTTTCAGGTTGATTATAATAAATAGCATGAATGTTGTGTTCACTGTGTCAAAAGGTTTGTTAAATACTTCATTGCTTGTCTGTTTCTAGTGATTATTATTCATATTGTTAGTTCAAATATGAACTATTTCTATAGAACTGGGACAGAAACTGAAGATCCAAACTGCATCTCTACTTAGGTTGATGATTAAACTCACCAGTTTTAATGTCGACTTCATTGCTGAATTCAGTGTAGAAAACTGGATCTCCTCTTCCTCCTCTGCATTTGTACACACCGCCCTGTGTGACACTGAGGACTGCACCTGGTTCAATGATTCTGATGAACTGATATCCATAATACACTGAGTTCTTGTACCAGTAAATCTTCCAGCCAGCAGAGCCCTTCACTGAGCAGGTCAGTGTCACACTGCCCCCTACTGGCAGGGATGTTATTGCTGGTGTTACTGTGGCTTTGGGTTGATCAGCTGTTGATGCAAAACATAAAAACAAATAAATATTCAGAATAAAATCTGGAGCCACTAGAACCAAACACAAATAATGAATCCTTAGCAAAAACTGACAGGTCTGTTCTATCATCATGCTTATGATAATTATGAAATAAATGATATTCTAAAAGTATATAATAATGATAACACTCTAGACATTTGATTCATGCAAGCAAAATCTCAAACCTGCACTGATTAAAAAAGTTCAGATAATTTCTAAAGTTACAACTTCTGTATTTATCAACCAGGAGGTCCAGAAGGATGAAGGTTCGACTGAAAGAACTCAAGAAAATCACAGAAACACACAGTCAGAATCTGGACAGAACTTCATCATGTTGTTTCTTACTGAGGATCAATGCAAATCATTTTTTCAACACA